TTACTTCTATAGCGAAATCTGGATTGATGATCTTTACTCATGCGAGCAGATGTCCTTCATCTTTGCCCCCAGTGTGGAGGGTGATCCTTAGATAAGGTTGAATCAGAAAAAATCATTTCATATACAGAAGTCTTTGTAAAAAGAGGTATCCCCAGGGGGATGACTATTCAGGATTAACTTTATTTACATGAAAACAATGTAATTAATGCATGATATAATTATTTAAATCAATCCCCTTATTTTTTTTCTTCTTGCTTCGAGCATGCCCTAATTACACAAAATTCTCTTCGACATATTGATCCATGATGTCTCATCTCGTCTCTTCTTGTAGGAAGATTCACGGATAATTGAAAGATTGGTTCTTTTGAGGTCTTTTAGCTTTACCAGTATGATGGTTTTGTATCTGAAATGAAAAATGTATGACTTTTGAAGTTGTGTATATGGTGGAAGGTAGTGTTACAAACAAATCAATTCTACCCGAGAACATAAACAACTGGATTTGATGTCTCAAAAGCAGGTAGAGACATTACTTCAGAGTCTCAGATATTTGTGGGGTCGGGATTTGGTTTTTTGTAAGGATCAAGTAATTGGCGTTGGATGGTATATGGAAGGTATAATTTTACCACTTGCCAAAGATCTATGACTCTTGAAAAATTAAAAGAATATTTAATTTACTTGATACTCAAAAACTTTGAGATTAAAACTTGATTCCTTACTCATAACCATAAAATCAACACAAATTTATTTATCACAAAAAGGTGGATAAAGGAACAAAAACATGTTCAAACAAGATGCTGAAAATAGAAAGTAATACAGTGGTAAATAACAACTTCCACATGTTTATTAGGCTTGCCCTATCATTCCTCGAATGTCCATGCTCCTGATTCGATTAAATTCTGAACCTTGCGCTTTAATGCCCCACAATTCTCAGTAGTATGCCATATGCTTCCCTTGTGGTAGCTACATATTGCATTAACTTCATACCCTTCAAGAAATGGGGGTTCTTTTGGTTTAGACTGAACTAGAGTCACGAGATTCTATTGAACAAGTAATGGGAGCAGTTTTTCATATGACATTGGAATTTCATCGATATGATCCTTCTCTCGGGCCATTCTATAAGATTTGGTCCCATGATTAGTTGAATAAGACCTCATTGTATTGATCTCAGCTTCGCTCTCAACGTCAGTACTATCGGAGCCTCTTATCTTGCAATTCTTGATAGTTATTTCGATCATTTCTCCACACATGACGATGTCAGAGAAATTATTAGTCGCAGCCCCTATCATGTGATTAATATAGGGAGATTTTAATGTATTGATGAACAAACTAGTGAACTCCCTTTCAGTCAATAGTGGATGCACTTGAGAAGCAACGTCCCTCCATCGTTGAGAATATTGTCGAAAGATCTCGTTGCACTTCATATTCATGTTTTTAACATTGTTCGATCAGGGGACATATCAGTCATGTGCTTGTATTGACCCAAAAAGGCTTGAGCTAAGTCTTTCCAAGAATGTATTTGAGTACATTTTAGCTGATTATACCATTTGGAAGCATGTCTAGATAAACTGTCTTGAAAATAGTGGATCAACAACTTTTCATTCTCCATATAGCCAGTCATGCGATGACAATACATGGTGATATAAGATGAAGGGAATGTAGTCCCATTATACTTCTCAAAATTTGGAACCTTGAACTTTGGTGGGAGAAATATGTCTGGGACCAAACTTAGCTCTTTGGCGTTAAACCCATAAAATGACTCAGCCGTCTCTCTAGATTTTATCACCTCTTCTATATTTTCAGTTATTGGATGAATTTTTTCTTTTCAACTAATTCATTTGAGTCAGGGACCTCATTATCAGTACAAAATTCATTTGGCTTCAACCTAGAAGCAGTAGGACAGTCAATGGGGAATGAAGTTCTAGCCTGATATTGTGGGTTCTTAACTGTGGGTTGGATTTCCTGATGTGCAGAAGTGCTCGGAATGTAATCAGGTGTAACATCAAGAGGGTATCTGGGGTTTTCAACAAGACTTTCCCCAGTGGTCAAATGATTCCCAATCATTTCTTCCATCTTGTTCAGTAGATTAATCTGAGAGTTTGAGGTATTAGCTTCAATTTGTACTAACTTGCTCCTCAATTCTTCTTGCGTCTCTTTCTGATCTATCTCAAATTTGGCTAGCCTATCCTCAGTTCCTTTAGACATTTTTCTTGTGTCGTGCTAAGCGTTCTTGCTACAAGTAAGAACCAAGATCACTTCGGTTAAAATCCTTATTTTAATGAATGAATGTTTTAATGCATGATTTGGAAATGTATTGAGTAATACAAATGTAATGCAAACAAAAGAAATATAAACAAGTTAGAGAAAATAAAATGTATCTTCGAAATAGATAAAAATAAGAAAAAATAAAAATGATTAGTAACAATTAATAGAAAGAAAAGATTCTATCTATCATGGTATCTATATATAAATTCTAACCTCATGCTTTCTAGTTTCATGCTTTGTTTGGAAAAATTAACCTAGCCGCATGATTACTAGATCGCATGCATAGAAAAAATAAATAAATAAAACAAATAGTTAGAACTAATTTCTTCTTTGTGTACACCTACGGACAAAGTGTCAGTAATGTCTAAGATCAGGTGAATTTCTAGGGTTTATTATATGCAGGGTTTCAGTTCTAAGAGTAAAGGTACTCGAACTGTCTTTGTTGGTGCCCACTTGGGCTGTCAAACCCTCAATCCTAGTCCATTACAGACTTAAGTGGATCGAGTTCAATTCGAGGGGATACATTTCTCTATGCCTAACACGGATAATAAATCCTCATGAAGACATAGAGCATATAAACCCCGAAAGCTACTTGCTATATCTGACACGGAGAATAAATTCTTACGAAGACGTCGCTTTCACTCTCACTTAAAAGAGAAAAGAACTCAAGTATAGAGCTTTATGTTTATGAAATGCACGTGTTGTGTGTGAGGAGAAATACTCAAACATTTAACAAATAACTAATAAAAAATGAAGTTAATATCTGAAAATCAATAAAAAAATATAAAAATATTAGTATATCAGGATATATGAAAATAATTTAAAAATAAATAATAAAGAATTTGATAGAAAAGAATTATAAATTAAATAAATATGAATTCTCAATTTCTAATTGATAGAGACAATTTATAATTGATTTAGGTTTGACCAGTCCCCAGCGAAGTTGTCAAGCTTTCGTAACTAGTTTTCACCCGGACATGAATTTCCTTGGCGGAAAAAGTATATGAATAAATGAAATGGTTTTCAATGAAATGTTTTGGAGTCGCCATCGAAATTTTTGGGTTAGGTAGGTTGAATACCTTAAAATCATCTTTTAAGAGAGTTTTTAAGAAAACATCAGTTAAAAGATAAACCGGTATGCGTTTAACCAAAAATTCATTCTTTTTAATAATAAAAAGGGATTCGTGGTCGGTTACGTTTAGGGAAGGATTAGCACCCCTATAATGCCCAAAATTGGTATCCTTCGATTATAAATTGTCTCTAATAATAGAAATTTAAGAATTCGAATATGAATTTAATTTATGATCCTGTTATTTCATATTCAATCAGATAACTCTGAGAAAAAAATAATTAAAGTATATATATATATATATATATATATATATATATATATATATATATATATATATATTAAGTAAGGTATTTATTTATTTAAAAATATCAGAAAATGACATCTAGTTACTTTAAGACATCCCCTTTCATAAAAAACTAAATATTAATAAAATATGATAATTGTTCCTAAGAAAATCATATTAAAATAATTTGAATTAAACTAAAGTAAATATATATTTTTTATAAGTAGAATATTTATTTATTTAAAAATATCAGAAAAGGACATCTAGTTACTTTAAGACAATCCTTTCTTAATATTTAAAAATAAATAAATATTATCCTTTCATATATATTTATGTGACTAAAATAAACTAAACAGAAAATAAAACGAAATAGTTAAAGAACTAAAATTAAAGTATTGAAAAATATAAAGAAAAAATAAAAAAATAAGAAATTAAAGTAATGAAATTAAATAAATAAAAAGTAGATCGCATAAATTAAAATATAAAATAAAGAACTAAAATAAAAGATATTGAATATAAGGCCCAAAAATAAAAATAGTTCAGAGGATTAAAAGATAGAATTAAAATGACTAAAATATAAAAAAGTAAAACATATATATCAAAATAAAAGAAAATAAAAAATAGCAGCTAATTTTGAAATAAAAAATTAAGGAACTAAAGTGTAAATATGTACTTAAATTATATGGATTATTTGAGGATTTTTCCTATTTTTAGTGATTATAATATAAAGACAAGGTAAAAGTTTAATGGGCTATATGTAATTCGACCCTGGGTTAGTGACCAGAATGTAAATAGATATCTAAACGTTGAAGACCTAAGGATAATTAACCTCTAAATTAGAGATTAAAACAAAAAAAAGCGCTAAAATAGCGGGTACCCTTTGGTGATTAATCCATAAATATGTGAAAAAAACCAGAAGCTCCCAGAAACTGGTGACCTGACGCGTGATTTACCCAAAACAATTAAAATGAAAATCACTCCCTTTTTATCTCTTCCAGAGACGTGAAAACTAAAGAAAATCATTCCCTCTTTATCATCTTCTTCTCTCACACTCTCCCTCTCTAACTCAATATGCGGCCGAGAGCTTCAAAGCTCCTCAGCAACGTCGCCGGCTATGACGCCGGTCATGATATATATGACCAAATAGGCCATTAAACCGAGACCAAACAGCCTCTAAGAGGCTTTCTTCCTCCTCTTTTGCTCGACCGAGAGCTCCAAACAAAAACAAGGACCACGCCGGCTCGAGATTCCGACAAGGAGCTTGAGGAAAGGTAAACTCACTCCCCTCTTCTTATATTTCTACTCGGAAAAACAAGAAAATAAAGAAGAAAACGGGTAATGAAAAAAAATGAACCTTTGGAAATGTTGTTGTATTGATTTCTAATGGGTGGAAAAAAAATCCTTCCTTACACTGTAATTTTATGGGTTCTATATATTAACCCATTTACATGATTAAAAAATAAATAATGATTGTTTTTTTTTTTTTTTTGTGGTGAGCTGTAATTGGGAAGCTGCTAGATAGGGGACCAGTTGTTGTTGTTGGAACGTGGACGGTGTTCGAGAGACCACGGGTGGAGCTACCGGAAGCTTCTGAAACATGGAGGGACAGCTGGTGTTCGAGAGACCACGGGTGGAGCTACCGGAAGCTTCTGAAACATGGAGGGACAGCTGGTGTTCCTCTGAAATCTACTGGATGGAGCGGGGAACAGCTAGTGTTGCTGGAAGCAACTGGAACACTGCTGTGGTGGAGCTACCGACGTGGAGGGACACCTGGTGCTCCTCTGGAAATTGTTGGAACCGTCGAGTGGAGTGCAACGTGGAGATGGCTACTGTCAAGGTAAAAATGGTGATTACAGAAGCATCGAAAGGCTCTGTATCTTTATGAAAATCGTAAGATAACAACACTGCCTAGTTCATTGTTCAGGCTTCAAGATTTGAAAACATTGGATCTCCGTGGATGTAGGAATCTTATAAATTTAACGAGCAAAACAAGCAGATTAGTCAGCCTCGAGCATCTCCAAGTTGATGGTTGTGATAAATTGGCTTACATGCCTCCTGGACTGGGGAATCTATCTTGCCTGCAAGAGTTGTGTGTGTTTGTTCTAGTAAAAACCACAAAAAAAAGATGTTGGTCGACTAAGAAACTTAAATGGGCTGAACAAACTTGAAGGCATGCTGCAAATTTCGGGTTTAGAAAATGCTGTTGCAGAGCAGGGATCTACTTACTTGAAGGAGAAATTGAATTTGAAATCCTTAAAATTGGAGTGGAAGATCAGGGAAGGAGATGATGTGTTTGATAATATAAATGAGGAAATGGTTTTTGAATGCCTTGAACCACACACGAATCTGGAGAACCTTATGGTGTGTGGTTACCAAGGAAGCAAGCTAAGCTGGTTGTCATCCATGTTCAGTTTAACTGAACTAATATTGTTTAGTTGTACTAAATGCAAGCATTTGCCACCATTGCATGAGTTATCTTCCCTCAAACCTATCCAGCTTTTAAAATTAGAAGCTTTAGGGAATGTGTCCGAGACTGAAAAGCAGAAGGATTTGTTTTCCAGAACATATTTTCCATCCTTGGAACTACTATGAATAAATGATTGGATGGTGGAAAAGTGATGTTGGTGAATCTTCAAATCCACATTTGCCTTACTTTCCTAGCCTTTCAGTTTTAACCATCAAAGACTGTCCTAATCTACCCTCTATGGCGCTGTTCCCTTCGGCCGAAGATTTGGATTTGAAGAAAACCAGCTCGAAACCTCTCCAAGAGACAATGAAGTTGAAGATGACAACACCAGAAACACCGTAGTCATCTTCTTCAACTCCGCGTCCTTTCTCCAAATTAAAATATTTTCGCATACAGGAGATTGAAGATCTAGATTCTCTACTAGAGGAGTTTCTGCAAAACCTAACTTGTATTCGGCACTTACGCATACATAGATACCTTAACTTGACATCACTGCCTGAGGGGATGCATCACCTCACTTCTTTGACCACATTGGAAATTCGTGATTGTCCCCAAGTATCTGAAAGGTGCCAAAGGGATACCGGACTGGCCTAATATTGCTCACATTCAAAACATTCTGATTGATCGAAGAACATATTTAATCAATGAAGGTACAGAGGAACGTTGTTGCATGGTTTTGCTTCCAAATACATGGAGGCCTTCTAGATGGTGTGATTGTCGGAACCTGTTTCGATTTCGAATGGTCATGCTTTACGTGGTTTTGGTTTGATCTAGTCTTGCACTTGCTGGAACATGTTCAAAATTGCCATGCATGTTGTATTGTTTTGTTACTCTTTCCATTGCTTTGTTCAGCTGATTCTTTTTGTGTTTGCTTCGTGTATTCTGTTGTCATGACTGTTATACTTTGTATACTGAACTTTTGCTGCATTGTGATTCCTGATAAACCAGAAAATTGCAGAAATTAGAGATAGAAAATTGCATTAACAAGTTTGGAAACTTTAACAACATTATCGATAAATACCTTAACTGAAATGAAGAAGTGTCATACTATGTGCAGTGCGTGGAAGGCCCAATCATTTGAGGGGTTCCCTGTTGCTTTTAAGCAATGGGTATATGGCCAAGTGTTCTGGGTAGCTTATGAAATATTCAATGATGGGAATCATCACAAAATGTATAATTAAAACTTGTTTGTGGTTGTTGTTGCAGCCCACAAATGTATGATTATTCCTTGAGTATGCTACAACTGGTAGCTCATAATCATTGGTGGTGTTAATTAGACAAGTTTTTACCATATCACCATCGAACTATATATCATTTAGATTACGAAATCTAAGAGGTAGCTTCAATGATTCATCTCCACATCCTTCTCTCCTTTATCTCCAACTTCCGCCACGTAATATTAACGAAAATTTAAACCCAAGAAATAGATTTTTATGTCAACAAACATAAATGTAAACAAATTCGAATCTTAAAAGTTACATCGCTACATCTATTATTGGTCAAATAAGAACCTAATCTTTTTGAATGGGCTCAAATAAAGACGTAAACAACATTTTTTTTCTTTTATTATTTAAGTAGATTCTAAAATGATATGCTTTTATTTGGGAAAATTAAAAAAATGTTAGACACATTTCAAAACATTTGAAATGTTGAATTCTAAATCTATTGAGTGACCTTAATAGTAAAAGAAATGGTTGTTTTACCTAGAAGATCGAGTTTGATATATATTTAGATTTAAATTAAAATAATTTTGAACAATACTCACATAGACTCATCTTAAAATTTCTCACTTGAAATAAAGGCATGAAAGTAACTTCTTTGATTTCTTTTCGACTCGATCCATAATTGTTAGATTGATTGATTGTAGATAAATCACTTGTTCTTTGATTAGATACTAATAATTATCTAATTATGAGAATATATGAAATCATAAACTAAATATATTTAAATATCAAATATCTTTCGATTTAATAAAAGAGAAAATAATTAATAGTATAGACATTATATTTAAAAGAAAAAAATTATCTTTCAATAGAAATTGTAATCTAAAGGGGTATAAGCAATTATCACATACCCACTCCACATGATCATCTCTCCACTCTGAATATTCACATTTATATCGGACAGAAAACAAAGCACCTGATATCAAAAACTTGTCCTCCCCTTTTTGCATTCTGGAATTGCATCTTCTTCTTCTTCCTCCTCCTCCTCCATTTAATCCCATAATCAAACAAAAAGTGAAACAAATCTCTCTCTTGCGAGCTTCAGGCAACTCTCCAACGTTGTTACAAAAACCAGTTCATTTTCCAACAGATGTCAGTTAAAGCACTGTCATTTTAACAAACAAAAGAGTTGTATTTGTTCTGTAGTAAGTTTATTTTCGTCGTTAAAATGTTTGGTGATTCATATTCGTTTTGCAAACTCTTTTTTTTTTTTTGGTGTAGAAATCTCTTTATTTTATCTTTCAATCAGGTGTTAACTGATTCCCCATTGGTGACGCTGTATAAAATTTCTCCTCCATTGTTTTTCCTATTAATATCCCCTTCATTTTCCCGAGAAAATGACGGAAAATGCAAAGTGGGCAAGCATAATATTTCTGGGGTTTCCCTTTCCTTCAAATATTTCCCTTTCTTTCCTCTTTCTTGTAACTGTTTAAATTGGTTTTTATTAATTTCTCACAGTTTTGAATTTATTTATGTTTTTGTTCCTCGAATTCGGTGATAGGATTCACAAGAGAATTCATTTTCGGATCATGTAAATGCTGATACACCCGATAGCTTTGTTATCGACATGGAAAGTTTTGTTCATGGAGTATCCAATAAAGAAAATAATCCCAACACAAGATTCCCGGTCAGTTTTCTTCCCATGGACAGTTATCGTTTACTTTTGAATCATTTTCCCGTTAATTGGAAAAAAATATTTTTTTTACAGAGAAACTGATAGGGAAGTGACGGCGGGTTAATAAACGTTGCTCTTGTTAAAGAATTAATCCTAAAAAACTCTAGATCCGATGAAGAACAAAGGGGATGAATAGTATAAGGTGGCTCCCTTATGAAGGTAAATGGTAAAGATGATGATGGTGAGGATGGATTTGTGGAAAATAGATGGATAAGTGTCCTATCGAACCCTCCTAGTTGCAATGAAAAGACAAACTCGATAATATGTCTCTAACTAACCCTCCTAGTCGCGATGAAAAGGCAAATTAGAGTGTAAAGATTAATCTCTCTCACAAGAACTTGAAAGAACTCTAGGAGAAAAAGCTTCGAAGGTACAAGGCAATCATCACTTGCAAAAACGAACTCTCGTTGTATTATTAATCAAAGAAATATGTCTTACAAAGTTGAATGAAGTCTTCTTTATATAGGGGATGAGTTCTAAAGGTTTTAAATAACTAACGAATAAAATAATAACAAACTAAACATGTCTTAACTCTAATTCCTAATAAAATAATAATAACTAAAAATAATTTTTTAACTTAACCTTAATTCCTAATAAAATAATAAATCTAATCCTAAAAGATAATGCATCATCCTATGTTAAATTAGATTACAAATAATCAATATAAATATTGAAAATTCGTAATATTTATAAAATCACGTATTAGTCTCGTATAGGAATTTTTGCATGTGTTGTTTTCACTAAAATTAATGTATATTGAGTTCCCGATATCAAATTGATGTGATTCAAGAACCGTCGGAAAGATAAGAGACAGAATGTTGTATATCTAGAAGACATGTTGACCAAATAAGATCAAGATGCCATTCAAAAAGTCATCGTAAGTCTGTTACTATTATAGTCTTCTTTTCCAAGGCTTGGACGAGTGGATCGTTTGAAAGAGTTATTACTTCTTCATTTGATGTGAGTTTTGTGATGCATGTATCATCCTCCCTTTCTTCAAAAATATTCGACCTCGAATCTAAAATATTAAAGGGAGCAACATTAGAATCGTTTAATGATTCGTTCACATTATGCTTACCGAATATATATGTTTTGATTCTTTGAGACTTTGTTCTTCTAATAGGTTCGAGTAGAAACATTAGTCCAAAGAATCATGTATTATGGACTCCGGTGCATGTATCATTCCCCCGACTCCTCAAAAAGATTTGTCCTCAAATCTAAAAATCCAAGAGAAAGAGAATTAGATGTATTGAAAGGAAATTTTGTGAAACATTTACCAAGATCAATGTGATGTGTCTTTATGCGTTTTTGTTGAGTTAATCGATCGACGGAATCGGCCAAGAGGGGGGTGAATTGGCAATTAAAAATTTCGTGGAAGCTTTTGCAGAAAAATTGAAAGTAATTGCACAGCGATTTACAGTGGTTCGACTTTCTCAAACAAAGTCTACGTCCACTACCTTAGCTATCCACACTAAGGATTTTCCAACAAATTCACTAATTTGTTCTTTCTTTTGAGGCCAAAGAGATAACCTTACAAAATCCCTCAAGAGTATACCCCAACTCTTGAGAACACTCTTTTTCCCAAAGAGAATATTACAAATTTGCAAACTTACAAGAAAACCTCACAAGGTAAGATGTTTGCACAATTCTAGAACAAGAAAAGAACACTCAAAGATAATTACAAATGAGCACAAATGGTGTTCTTGAAAGCAAAATGAATATTGAAAAGGAAAATTGGCTTGATTTGCACAAACTTGGTGTTTGATCTTTCTCTCTTGTTTCTCTATGATTTCTTGTTGATCAAGGGCTTCAGAACTTGTTTAAATACACCTTGAATCTCTTCTGAACGTTGGGGATGATTAGTGAAGATCATATAGCCGTTTTAGTGTGAAAACAATTAATAAAACAGTTTGGAGCGTGGGGGGAATCGGTACCCCCTATGGGGAATCGGTTCCCTAAGTGTAAAATTCAAATATTTCGACCGTTGAACAGGGGGAATCGGTACCCCCTATGGGGGAATCGGTTCCCTCCGAGCATTCTGGAAATCTCGGAGCCAAACCATTCAGGGGGAATCGGTACCCCCTTGGGGGGGAATCGGTTCCCTCTGAGCAATATGGAATTTTTGTCTTTGAAATGGTTCGAAATACTTTGAAAGATTATTTTGAAATTGTTTTAAGATTAAAACTTAATTTTACACTTAAGTAAGGATTAAAAATGATTTTTGAAATATTTTGAGTAATGTTTTGATATTCGAATAATTATATCGAATATACTTAGAAAATCGTTTTGGAAAATCTTAAAATTCATTTAACTTAATTTTTTATATTGAAATATCAAAATGTTTTCAACAATCTCCCCCTTTTTGATATAACAAAACATTTTAGTAATTTTAAGATTTTGAAATCAAGTTTTGAAATTACTCCCCCTTACTTTAACACTTCTCCCATTTATCATTTTAAAAACACACTTAAAACACACTTCTCCCCCTTTTTGTTAAATCAAAAAGATTCAAATAAACGTGAAAAATATTAAGCCAATTGATTAGGTATATGTATGCATAAGCTGCTAAGATCACAATTAAGAGAAACGTTAGCCATTAGTTCCGTAATCAATATTCATAAATAATGTGATATGGCAAAATTGGTCATATTGCTAATAATGATGTAAATGATGAAATAATAAATAAATCACACCAAACATATAAGTTCAAACCATCCATAAATCCAAACAAATTCACAATCCTCAAATTCAAACATCCCAAAATATTCAAAATGTTAAAACAATAAGTTTGGAAAACAAAGTAAAACATTTAATCATATATCCGGATCAGGAGGAGGAAAACGAGCTCGCATAGCGGCCATTTCGTTAGTGAGGTCATTAATACGTGCGTTGGTTGCTTCATTATTTGCACGCATTTCCCGAAGAATTTCTAATTGTTGAGCT